ACTCCAAACTTCACACACCAAAACTCACACTTCTCACTTCGCACTTCGCACTCCACACTTCACTCACACTTCACACTTCACAGTCCACACTTCACACTTCTCACTGCTTCCTTCACACTCCAAACCTCACACTTCACACTTCACACTTCACGCTGCGCTCTTCGCACTCCAAACTTAAACTTCACACTCCACACTTCACACTTCTCACTTCCCACTGCTTCCTTCACACTGCACACTTCACACTGCACGCTTCACGCCCCACACTTCACACTGCTCTAAACCTACGTGCAACAAAAAAACACTAGCGCCAAAATGGAGAAAATCTGCTAACAAATCCATGTCGCAGCCTTCATGCAGCCACATTCCAATACGATGTTCGAGATCCATCTGCAAAAGACAATAGTAGTAGTGAGAATGCAGCGTACCGCTACTAAGCACCTTGACGTCAGCCATTAGCAATGCGATCTGCGAGACTGTGTTGCAAAACACAATAGAACACGCTGGGCACGGCGTCGGTGAAATTGTAGGCTAGCTCCAAAACCGGGACTCGACCTCCAAAGAGCGAAAAAAAGACGATTTTGAAATCGCTTGTTTTAAAAGGATTTTTAGAAGGAAAATCACTAGCGCCAAAATGGGGAAAATCTGCTGACAAATCACTGTCGCAGCCTTCATGCAGCCACTCCAATACGATTTACGAAGTCCAGCTGCAAAAGACAATAGTATTACGCATGCAGCCTCAGCATGAAGCAACCTTGACGCAGCTATTACAATGCGATCTGCGGAGACTGAGTTGCAAAACACGATAGAACTACGCGCAACTGGGTCGGAAATTGCAGGTCCAAAACCGGATCTCGACGCCAGAGCGAAAAAAAGACGATTTTGAAGCACTTTTTAAAAGGATTTTTAAAGGAAAATCACTAGCGCCAAAATGGAGAAAATCTGCTGACAAATCACTGTGGCAGCCTTCATGCAGCCACTCCAGTACGATTTACGAGATCCGGCTGCAAAAGACAATAGTATTACCAATGCAGCCACAGCACGAAGCAACCTTGACGCAGCCATTTACACTGCGGGAACGATCCTACAGTTGCAAAGCACAATGGAATTCCATCGGCAACTCATCCACCAGCAACACTTGCAATCCCATTTACATTGCGGGAACGATCCTACAGTTGCAAATCACAATGGAATTCCATCGGCAACTCATCCACCAGCACCACTTGCAACCCCATTTACAATGCGGGAACGATCCTACAGTTGAAAATCACAATGGAATTCTGTCGACCACACATGCACGAAAAACAGTTGAAACCCCATTTACAATGCGGAACCGATCCGAGACCGATCCGAGACCAATCCGAGGATGATCCGACCACACACGAGACCGTCTCGCACCCGTCGCACCGCAGAGGTAGATCATCGAGGTTCGGGG